ACGAGATTTTGGGACACACAACAAAGATTCTGACTCCGACCGCATGTGTTATATGTGTTTCAAATAAACATTCCATTAATTGAAAAATGTCTGGTTTCATTTCCTCAAAAATGAAAAAAAAATGAAAAAACCATGCACTGCGAAGTAGAAAGCTCTGCAATATATGGATTTCTTTTTTTAAATACTTTTAAAAATTAGAGATGAAGTCATGTTAGAAAGAACAATATCCAGTGAATGGACATATATGCATATACATCATTGAAACAAGCTATAGCGTTCCATTGTCCAAAAACGCTTTAGTCGATAACCCAAAATAGCGGTATATAAATAGGTCTTATTTATCGTACGGATTATCATTCCAGTCATTTCTGAGAAAAACAAGTGTTCCTGCGTAAACCCATTCCTCCCGTATTTAGTATTCACGTGGATTTACTGTTTAAACAACCATTTTCATAAATGCTTCTTGTGATCTATATATATCTCACTTGGGATGGTTTTGGAATGTGAAAAACAATGCATTAGGAAGCATTTAAAATTGATTGCCGGATATTTATATCAGGCACCTGTTTCCTATTCCGGTAATTAGTTTCACCGGATATCAGAGTTACTGCTGAGGCGCGGTAATTTCCGTTCAACTTCCGTGTTGTTGCAATGGGTTGGTTTGGAATGTCAACAAACACGAGCAGATGAAGAGACATGAGGATATTGGCATTTCTCATGGCTGTATTTGTCACCACAAATATAAGCACAGGTAGAATCGATCTCCGTCGCTGTTTTACATTGATTTCTCAATTCAAAATGTCTTACCTGTAAGCTCATAATCATTACAGTAGCGACCCTGGTTAAAAAGTTACAGTTTACAGATTCATACCGTCAGTAAAACTTAAAGCTAGTGTCTGAACCGTTCCTAACAATGTGAAATCATGCCTGTTTTGATTAAGATATTCTTTCAGAACTTCAATAATGATTTAATAATATGCTTGGATCGATTAAAACTACAGCTAAGGGAGATAATCCAATAAAGAATGTCTGCAACATATATAGACTATATCTTCACTGCCTATTGAATCGGTTGCAATAGATCGTAAGTTGATAAAAACACTTTAATGTTTGAATCAATATTTTAGATCCAGACACACTTAAATATCATTGAAAAAAATCATAACTTAGCATGATGTATATATGCTATTTTCAAATATGAACCACATTTTGACCCCACATAATTCTAGAAGTTTGTAGAGCAAGAAATAAAACATCAGGAAGATACCAAAAGGAAAACATCATTGGTAAAATTCATTGTTTATTTTCTAAATTTGCTTTTCGTTGCAGGGGAACAAGATATAAGATTAAAGTATTTTGAAACTCTGAAGATATCCGACATTAAATTACGAACCCGAAGAAGTATTGACCCAAACCCTAGGTCTCATCTGCATCAGGTTTCATTTCACGCTCTTGGAAGGTAAGTAATATCTCAAAGCTAATCAAATGATAACTGGTATATGCTCAGAACCCATGCGAAGCTAATATGTGATTTCAGAGCAATTTAATTTGATCAAAGTTATAAACATGTTATCTCAGCCAGGTACTTTTAGCCTGGTCTGTCAATACATCCATAATATGATATTATGGGTGTATTGACATACAAGGATAGTAGCTGTGATCTCAGATCCAGTCATGTACACATAGGTAACAGAGGTAAACACATTTTAATGCTTCCGCTAGGAGTCGCACCCAGGACCTCTGGCTTACTAGTCTTATAATCTACAGAATGAGCTGAAGAAAAATCTCCCTAGCCGTTAAGTCGGTAGGAAGCGCCTAGTATTTTATCAGGATGACATACTCCCCATCCTTGGAAGAACTTGTCCAGAGTTTTCAAGAAGTCAACACAATTCTTTTGCTAGTATAGCTGAATATTTTTGTCATAAATCCTGTGGTCCCTACGTGAGTGCCAATGTAACAGATGTAATTATTTTTTCATTGCCTCCACTAGGAGTCGAACCCGGGACCTCTGGCTTACTAGTGTTACGCTCTACTGAATGAGTTAAAGAGAAATTCACCCTAGTCGAGTCGGTAGGAAGCAGCTAGTATTTTACCAGGGTGACATATGCATGTATCTGAGTTTTATATTCTCACATCTTCCCAATTCCAAAATAAATTGGGCTACTTCTGGTATTTAATTCAAGTAATCATTGTCAATTCCATTCATATAACTTATGTAAGTATTTGTGTGGCAGGTTTTGTATATATGATACACTAGAGGAAATTTCACTTTACTTGAATCAGTAGAGCAACGGGTGGGAAGCTGGATGTGGGTGGCTCAATCATCGATGGAACCGTGCACGCTTATATTTTCCTGTTACAAACAGTGTCTTTGGCTCTCCCTGTGGTGACAGGGAGTTAAAATCTGGGTTGTCGTGGCTTTTAGCTAATTCAGTAGAGTGGTGGACTAGGAAGCTAGGGGTTGCTGGTTCGATCCCTGGTGGAAGCACACTACCCTCTTTCTGGTTACCTTTATGTACAATTATGACATTGTTTTTATCCCACAGAGATTTTCATCTAGATCTTCGCCTATCAACAATTCTATCCCCAGGATTTAAGGCTACCATTGTTGACAAAGAAGGGAAGATACGCAAAGAACCAATCGACTATTCACAATTCTTCAGTGGAAAACTTGCAGGTAATTGTATGGGAGAGATTTTCCATTACCAAAAAAATGATTATACCAGTACTAGAAATCATGCTTTGATTTTCAAAGATAGCGACTTTAAGCCCTCTTCCTCTCCGAATACACACACCTTTTAGGTCTGTTTAATTATTTGGTTCCGAATTGAAAAGAACCCACTCCACCCCCACCTTCCTTATTTATCAAAAAACTTCACAACTTTGCAATTAGCATCTTACTAAAGTCAATCTACGT